CTCGACTTCATCACCAACTACCTTCGCGACCACCCCGTGCGTACGGCGGACGACCTTGCACCCCGCGGAGCCCTGACCCGCTCCCTCAAACTCATGCTCGCTGCACTGGCCTTCTCGACCACCACACTCTTCATTCGGTACGCACGCCTACACCCCGTGCTTCCGAGTCGCTGTTAATTCCCCGTCATGCAGCTCGGTTTACCGCCTCATCGAGCTCTCGGGCGGCTGGGACGGCCCCATCATCCAAACGGAAGTGTACTTCAACGTCCTCGACGGCTGCATGGTCGTGCTCGCGATGTTCACAATGAATTTTGCGCATCCCGGGCTGCTGCTTCGTGAGCCGCCGAGGAAGGACCAGATTAAGATGGAGGCGCTAGGGAGTGCGGAAATACTACTAGACTGACTTCGAGGGGCACACACACGGACGATGCATTTTTAGTGTCACTTCATCGATTAGAGGGTACTTCTCATACTATTGACTTCTGATGTCAAAACTCCTTCCTGTGCGAGTATTCACAGCGCTAATGTGGATGTATGCCAATCGCGAAACTCGCCACAACGCGCAGCTCTCTGAATTGCGACTTGAGCGCGCAGAGGTATAGTGTTCTGATAACGTATGGTTCAGCTTACTGCTTGGCACTCGCATTCAAACTCAATTCGAAGGTTGCTATTTTTCAACCATGGCACCGCCACTCGGAGTCTTCCGGCGGAGTTCAAAACTACACCACGGTTCAAAGTTGGTCCAGTGAGGTCAAGACGAGGAGACCGAGGGCCGAGAAGTATGAGGACCAAAGACCTCAAAGCGGTCTATGTAGATAGACTTAGTTTCCCCGGGGATCCGAACTGTATATGCGCCCGGTTCATTTCCTGGTTCAAAACCATCTCATTTGCAAGAAACAGTTAATTGCCGCATATACAGGCGGTGCAGCGTAGTGCGCATTACATCCCGCTATTGAGGTCCGAGGAGTGGATTGAACCGCCAAGAATCCCGCGACGGTGTCGGATTTCATTGAACACACGACGCTGGCAACAGCTGCGACGAGAGCCAATATATGATCATGAGGGATCCCAGGACTAGTACGTCGTTGAGACTGTTGGTTTCCACTTTATTATTCTCAGGGCAGCAATCCGACCCAATCGCGAACGTGATTCCAGTGCAAAATAGCAATCCCTACCTGCGAATTACTGCTGGAAATAACCCTCTGAGTTAACCGCAAACGGGGGCGTCTCCCACCTATGACGTCTAAATTGTGGCACTCAAAGGTTCAACGAGATAAACCAGCCAATGCAGCGGAAAATGCTTGTGTATTGTCCAGCTGTTGCAAATATTGAACTTGTAGCGTCAGTTTGAAAATTATACCCGTCGCTGCTATCCATCCTCATCCCGCAGCGAGCCTGAAGGCGTCCTAGCCCCCCAGATTCGTCCGCTGTCCGACTAAAAACTCCGCCAAATTTCGCGCGAGCTGCGTATGTCCCGCCAACGTCGGATGCAGGCCGTCCACCGTGAGCTCCCTGGTCATCCCGGAATATAGGTCACCGCACGTCTGGACATCCAGGTCCAGACCGTCTACGGTTACGATTATGGGGTGAGAGATTAGGTCTCTGGCGATGGCGCCCGCATCAGGGTCGGCGAAGTCGCGAAACGGCGGCTATGTGTGTACAAGGATTTAGATTCACGACCTTCAAACGAGAGGGTGCGGACGACGCACAATGATGTAGAATCTAGAGGCCCCGGGGAATGTGGTGGCGAGCCTTCTGATAAATTTATCGAGGGTCTTTCTGAAGACATCGGGCGAGACGTCGGCGGCCTCGTCGTTTGTTCCTGAAAGATGGGAGGATTGATAGGTTAGTAGATCACAATGAAGTCTCGCTGGCTGACTGACCAAGCGCGATGCAGATGAGCTTTGGGTTCCCAGAGAGAGTCTGTGGGGCGGTTTCCCAAGGACTGGACTTCCCCCGACGAACAGAGTTAACTAGTTGAGTCAAAAACCCAGCTGCTGCGAGGAGGACTGACGTGAAAGAATCTAGTGATCATCCCGCCTGAGATGGATTGATCCTCTGCGCCCGACGTGGTATCCGCAAGCGAGATCCCGGGATACGCCACTACCTCGAGAGAGAGCGGGTACAGATACTTTTCTCGCAGTATCGCCACTGCCTGCGCCGGAAAGGCATCCAGCACCCCCCGCGGAATGGGCTCCCCTCCATCGGACGCCTCCAACGCAAGACCACACGATATAGAATCCCCGATAAACAGGATCTGGGTAGATTCGGGCGGATCGGGCGCGATCCCCTGGGCATCGGTCTAGATTCCTCCAAATCAGTCTTGAGGGAAAATTCAGCAGCCGGATTCGCCTACGCTACTCGTGAGGAAAGCATCAATCTCAAGAGTAGTCGCCCAATCAACCAGTACGACCTCGACCAAGCAGTCCTCTGTGGGCTCATCACAGAGGCGTATGACGGTGTTGGGCGCGACGTCAATGGTTTTTGTCTTTGTTTGAACAATGGAGTTTGCACGGTTCGCCACGGAAACCGCAAGCATCGGCGTCCCGCCGTTCCAGCAATCTTTGCGCTCGGTTCGCCCGCCGATTTTTATCCACAGGTCGGATACTGGATTGCGAGAGTAGAATTTGATGGACGAGCTGGCCCAGGCGGAGCAGATGGCGCCGTTGTCACAGAGTTGCCAGCGGCTCGAGAGGGTCAGGGCGGGCCATGGGATGGGATGGAGGTTTGGTGGAGGTGTGTGTGGTCTGCCGTCAGGAGAGAGGCTGGCGCTGAGCATGTGTGAAGGTAAGTCGATGGTGGTGCGGCAACTCGCAGAGAGCTGATTGATCCGACATCACCAAAACCGGCTGACTTTACCGTTGTTTTCGTTCGCTGATCAATAGTGCAGCAGTCAAGTCACGGTTGTTGCATTTAGACATACAGTAGTATGCTACTTATACAGTTATACAGGGACCCATCATTGGTATCGGGAACTCGTCTAATACCGTCGCTGGCACATCGCAACTTTTTCCCACGGTTGGGAATGCGACGTTCTCGACCAACAACCTGGGCCAATCTTTGAACCAGTGATCCCCGGCGGCATTGTATAGAAGTAGCGGTCGCGATGCAGACAGCTCACGCAATTCCCGGTGCTAATCTCTCTCTTCTTTCTCTTTAAATTGTCATCTGAGTTGTCGTAGGCTTCTATGATGCCTCCCATGATAGCCTTGCAGAGTTTGTCGACGGTCAAGCCATTATTGTGGCTGCTGGACTCGCTTTCAGAGGCTGAGGTACTGTCAACGATATCCTGCGGAGTCGATGAGTAAATACTATCAAGGTTGACAAAATGAAAAATACTCAGCGTACCGGGAGCTTCACTTTGCCCGAATTTAGACCCTCGAGGATATCCAACTCATCCAAATACTGCTTCGCTCCGTTATCACGACCCACTTGAACGAATTGAATTCCCAAATGACGGTGCTGCTGTCGGCAACTGGTACATTTGAATGTAACACAGTTGAGGCGCTGCAGGGTCTCCGCAGCATGTAGAATTGTATTCCTTACTGCGGCCGGATCGTCTGGAATCCATCTGAGCCGCAACATCACCTGAAGAAGTATCAGGATCACTAACCTGGAGCCCCATCTGTAACGATGAGATAGTTTCTGGGCTTCAAGCCCCCTTTCTTCTGCAACTCGGAAAGTTCTTCTTCCAACTTTCCGAGTGCCTCCTTTCGCTCTTGAAGTCTTTCCTTCAGATTTTCGAGGCTTGCTTGCAACTGATCGGCTTGCTTTGACCGTTCGCTATAACCTGGCTTCAAGACGCCGAAACCTGTCAGATGGTTGCGTTTGACTCGAAGTTCTGTCTCTCTGTCCTCTATCTCTCCTGTTCCGGTCTTGATCTCTGTGTTCAAGGCCGCAATTGTAGCGCTGACCTCACCCCTGTGTTCGAGTGCTGCCAGGTAGGGGGACAATTGTTCCCACAAGACCCTTCCGAGCGGAGTCAGACCAGTAGGCTTTGTCACCTGAAATGTCGACAAAATGTCGTTGTCCTGTGCACCGACGATAAATGTTTGAAAAATGGTGAATCTCGTGGGATATACCTTGCAGCCCTTCTTCCCGACGTTGGACAGAAAGAAGAGGTCGACCCCGTCCTTATCATGTTGGGATATTACCGATGTTAATGCCGCCACAACCTGGCCAGTCAGTGGTGTTCCAGCGCGAGTATGTGTAGGCTTCGCGCACCTGGTTCCAGTGGTTTTTCATGGAGCCGGAGTCATCGATACCGAGGACGAAGTCGTATTGCCGGAGACACTCTGTGTATTTTCCCCTACAGCAGACTTCAAGAACTCCCTCCGACTCGGACAGCGACGACTTACATCTTTTCCGCAATTTCCGGGCTCATGCTAGTGTACGCCGGTGGCGCCTCATTCTCAGCAAATCCTTTCTTGTCGTATTTGCTGTCAATGAAGTTGGCATCGCCAAAGTCAGAGGCCTGTTTATTATCTGCGTATTTGCTTGTTGGCATGGAGGGCCGGGAGGAGGAAGAAAGAGGAGGGAAAAGTATGGTTTACAACTAGCGGCACCGACCGCGGTATTTAACCAAAACTCGGCTCAGGTGTGGCCACACTGTTTCGCCACCGGCACAGGTGCTGTTCAGGGCTCCAACCCAATCTGGAACAAGGTGGGTGGCCACACGAGTCATATTTATGTGAAGGTGATGTTGAAGTCAATAGTGTTCCTGATGGTAAGGGTCAAGATTGATTTACGCAAACGAGTCAATCGTGACGACTCATGTCAGGCGAGGTGAATACAAGGCTCACGATTAGTCTGCAGAGTTACATTTATGTTCACCAAATTAGGCATGTGGTTGAAATTTGCTAAGCTGCCGTTACGGCCAGTGCTGAATTTGATGTTTGATCTAGATTCCGTTCTGAACGACTCGACCGAATCGCTATTGAATGTTCGCAGAGTGGTCAGAAGAATGCTCACCTTATTTAGGGTTGAAACTGGGTGTAGGAGGTTCGGTGGTGGATGGTCCACACTTGCAGAAATTCAGAAGTCTTCGAAACCTTTTCGCAAGCGTTGCGTGTTCGAATCATGCCCGAGCCACTGTATGAACTGCTGACCTTCTTTTTCTTTGTCTGAGTTCTGCCGATATCGGTGTAATCGGAAGCCGCCCCAAGTTATAGCGAAAAAAAGCTCCCCGACGGCTCCCCTTGATTGCGAAGTGTTTTTGCCATCCAGGGGTAGCCTTTGAGCTCGCTGAAACCAACCACAGTCATTGAACTTTCACAGAGCCTCCATTGACAGGACTCTGAAAAACACCCCCGCTAATTGAAGTCGAACCCAGACTATGAGAGGCTTGGTGGATGGTCCACACTTGCAGAGATTCAGAAGTCCTCGAAACCTTTGAGCAGGAGCTGCGTGTTCGACTCACGCCCGAGCCATTCCCATTTCATCTGGCGGTGTTCGGTTTTGTTCCACTCTTGTTACTCCGTTGCCTGATTTTCTCCGATCCCGATGGAATTGAAACCAGAGGGTGCTGCGAACAAAGAACAAAGAGCTCTTAGTTCGTTGCGAGAGTCAACACGGTTGAGATTATTTTCGAAGCACCGCACGACGAGATGCTTGGGTATTGAAGTTCGGCAGGGCCCACGCTTGCAAAGAGTCGAGAATACCTTGACCAGGAGTTTGTGTGAATCCAGAGCGCCATGGTGGGGTTTTATTTGGGTCTCGATCATCCTCCAGTCCTCGAGCGCGAGCACAGTTCAGTAGATTTTGTTGAAGTTTCGCAGGTATTGAACGTCCTCGTCTCCGAAGGTCATTGAAGGTGAAGGTGTATCAAAACTCAGTGGCCAACCCTGAGTTCCGTGTTCACACATCGGTTTTGAGGTGGAACTTGAGAAACCGACTTTTTTCTCTTGACAGGTCGGGGACAATCCATAGATAGTAAGTAATGAGTGAACCGCAGAGGCTAGACGTGTGTATACCATAGGTGTGCCTGTTCGAGAAAACGCCAGTCAAAGTTGAGTCGTCCACTGGTACCGAACGGCGAAAATGGCATCCGCTAGAAAATTCTGCCACAAAAGCAACCCCAAAAATCGTAAGGCACATTCCACGCCGTCGACGTCGCAATCGGGCCAATTCCTTTACATTTTTTTCCCTTGAGTGAGAGTGAGAGGCAAGCGGCGGCGGCGGTGTCAGTAAAGGTCCCGAGCAATAGGCGTAAATATGCTCCTCCTCGTTCTTCTCATGGTCAACCAAAGCAAGGCGTGCTGTGGTATAATTCGCGTCCGCGGGTGTGCTCCGGAGTGGAGGCGTACATGTGTGCAAGTGCCAGGATGAGGAAGACGCGTCAAGTGGTTGGATCGAGACAAGTTGACAGCCCCAAAATGGATTTCGCAAAGTCGTAATAAATCGCCGGCCGACTTGGACTTTGCCCTGGCATTTTGGCGATCGGCCTTCTTCCCGCTTTCCCACTTCCCTCAACGGCGCACACGATGAGCAAACCCCTGCCGCCGCTGCCCGCGACGACGAGCGCACCTACCTCGACGACGTCAGGCACGACGACAACGACTACGAGCACGAGCACAACACCGACATTCGACCTTCTGCGTGCGCTGCACTCCATCCTCGGCGACGCGATCGACGACATCCAGGCCGTCTACGCCGCCGCCGGTCCTCCCCAAGGCCAGCCTGAGCCTGAGCCCGAGCCCGTCGGCGTCCCCGACGCGCCCCCAACGCACCGCAAAGCCAATTCCTTCTCCCGCGCGTACGCAAGCCCGCCGCCGTCCCCAGGCACATCCTCCGCCTCGACGCCCACGTCGTCCACCTTCTCCTCTTCGTCCTTCACCACCCCATCTACGCCATACAACTTGAACGCCACCGGCCTCGACTTCCCGTCGCCGACTCTGCCCTTTGCGCCGCACTCCCCGGCCGAGCAGCTGACCGCGCACCCCACTGTCGCGGCCGCCATCAACCGCATCCTCGCCGCGTCCGGGCAGCTCGCGTCTATCGTGCAGACGCCCTTTCTGACGCTGTGTGATGCGAGCATGGGATATCATCTGCCCTCGTGTCTGCGGGTGCTAGAGGCGGCGTCTGTGGTCGAGGTGCTACGGGAGTGTGGGGGTAAGGACACGGGGAAGGAGGGCGTGCACGTCAAGGAAATTGCGCGCCGCACCGGTGTCGACGCGTCCAAGCTCGGTGGGTCCTCCCTCTCCTTGCCGAGTCTGCTCTCTCGCACTGCTCACGCTTTTTCTCCTTCGCTCGCAGCCCACATCCTCCGCCTCCTCGCCACGCACCACATCCTCCGCGAAGTCGCGCCAGACGTCTTTGCCGCCAACCGCATCAGCAGCCTCCTCGACTCAGGCAAGGAGCTTGGCGTGCTGTTGGACCAGTGCGTACTCTCTCTTGTTTTCTTTGGCCTCTCCGCGTCTCTCGTTTTCTCTCTTTCTCGGGCACGCGCCGCTCTTTCCTTACATCCCCATTCACCTCCGCCAAAATTTCCAGCTCCCGCCTGCCGCTCGCTCCCGCGACTCCTCCTTTCTTTCCTTCTCTCACACCCTTCCATCACTTCACCGGGCTGGCTTCCTTTACGCTCTACCTTCTCTTGTCAGCACTTCTTGACGCGTCTGGCACCTCCTCTGCCTTTTTGACGCGCTTACGCGTCGGCGCTCGATGCTTCTAATTCAGGCAGAGGCGCCGGGCTTATCGGCGTCTGCGTTTGGCTGGCGTGCGGTGGAGTCGGTCCCGGACCCGAATTCCCTTTTTTTTTGCCCTGCTCGGTCAAGGCCAATTCCAGGAGAAAACGTGCTAACTTTTTTGGCAGCCCGGAGCGCAAATACGACGGTGGCGACGCGAGCGCGGTGGCTGCGTTTATTGGGCTTTGGTGAGTTCGAGTTTTTTGTTCTTTCTTCGCTGTGTCGGTGTCTTTTTGCGTCCGATTCTTTCGTGCTGGGCCTTTCGGCGCAGAGATGCTTTCAACGCGTCGACCTTTATTTTCGAGCGCATATACTCAGTTTTTGACGCGCCTTTCTTGTTCTTTCGGTGCCTCGGCCGACGTACGCCGAAGCGCCAGTATTTCCTTTTTCACACTCTCTCTTTCACTCCTTGCTGCCTGATATGTAAAAGAATCCTTCACTAACACCACTCCCATCGATCACAGCACCGACGAGCTCTTCAAATCGAGCGCCTACCTCACCGAGGCGGTCTTCCCCGGCGCCGCGCGGCTCTACCCCGTCGGGTGCGCGTCGCCCAGCTTCACCACCACCGCCACCACCCCCGCCCTCACGGATGCGGGTGCAAATGTCGTCCTACCCTCGAACGCGAACGCGAACACAAAGGTCGGCGTACCGCGCACGAGCCTCACCAGCGGGCTGCACATCGACGGCGCGGACCCGACGCGCGCGCCGTTCAATTACGCGTTCGGGTGCGGGGGCGTCGGGTACTTTGCGTGGCTGGAGGGCGAGGGGTGGGTTCGGCCTGGTCTTGGGCCCGCTCCTCCTTCCGCTCCTCCCGCTCCTGATCAGAGGGCAGACGCTGCGTTGCCCTCTCCTACGTCCCCGAATCCGAATCCGATGACCTTGGGCACGATGCGGAATGGGAGCGGGGCGCGCAAGAGCGCGGATGAGGTGAAAGGCGGGAATGGGGACGCGGAAGGGAACCCGAATCAGTTCCGGTTGGAGCGGTTTGGGAAGGCAATGACGGGGACGGGGAGCTGGGAGGTGCCGGGCGCGGTGTTGCATGGTGGGTTTGTGTTCCTTCATTTCGTTTCATTATCACTCTATCTCGCGAACATGAGCGTTTCACTCCTACTCTCAAACTTGCTCGCTCAAACTTGCTCGTGAACTCATTAACATTGTGCTGACTGCCTCATAGGCTTCGACTGGGCATCCCTCCCGCGCGGGAGCGTCGTCGTGGATGTCGGCGGCGGGATCGGCTCGACGAGCATGTTGCTGGCGAGTGCGTATGCCGAGGTGGACGCGGGAGATGGTGCGTTCCGTTTTCCTCTCGCTTTCCCATTTCAGCGATGGCGCTAACAAACATGACGACCTTCACAGGTACAGGCGGGTTGCGTTTCGTGATCCAGGATCGGCCTGTGGTCGTTGAGCTGGGGGAAAAGGTGCGGCGGGCGTTCTCTTCCTTCTTCTCGTATTTGCTGACCTGCTCGTTAAGGCCTGGCGCGCCAAGTGTCCCGAGTTGCTCGACTCGGGCGCCGTGCGGTTTCAGGGTGCGTCTGCTTTATCTCCTTCAACGATTAATGACTGAAGCGATCCCAGTCCACGACTTCTTCACCCCGCAACCCATCACCAACGCCGCCGTCTTCTTCCTCCGCGTCGTCCTGCACGACTGGCCCGACGCGTTCGCCCAGCGCATCCTGCTCCGCCTGCGCGAGGCGGCCGCGCTTGACACGCACCTCGTCCTTGCGGATTTCGTGCTCCCGCTTGCGTGTGTGGATGATTTCGGGGTCGGGGCGGGAAGCGAGGAGAAAGACGCTCCGGAAAAAGGGAAAGAGCCCGAGGTGCAGGGCGCGGAGAAGATGTTGGCGGCGGCGCCGTTGCTGCCGAATTTGGGAAAGGCGAGCGCGAATGCGTATTGGATGGATCTTACGGTGGGCCGCTCCATTTTTTTAGCATGAACGAGCAAAGACTGACGACGGCGGCAGATGCACGTAACCTTCAACGGGCAAGAACGCACCCTCCGCGAGACGGTCGCACTCGCGCTCTCCGCGGGCTGGAAGGTCGTGCGCGTCACCAAGGCGCCGGGGTCGCTCTTCGGGCATATCGTCGCCGTGCCCGTTGCAGTGCCCGTCCCACCGGGACGCCGCGCTCGTGCGGGGAGCGGGTCCGCGTTCTTCGACGTCAGTGTCGCCTCGCAGTCCGTAGGCGGAGGGGGTGGCCCGGTGGGCGTGAACGGAGGTCGCAACGGCGTGGAGGGCGGTGAGATAGAGATGGAGATGGTCGAGCGCGCCAGCAGCCGTTGCGGGACGCCAACCTTTGGCTCGCGCGTGGACTTGCCGTCTATTGCGGAGGCAAGGGCGCGGTTTGGGCCGAGTGTTAGTGGGAGGCGATTTGGTAGTGGTGGTACCGTGAGAGGCCCGCCGCCGCCCC